TGCCACACCTCCGGGACCGTGGCTGCCCAAGTACAGCATGTGGTGTAGCGTAGCTCCAAACTCCGCCTTTTGGAGCACAAACCCGCCGCTGGAAGGCAGGATCGTCGACGTTTTACTGGACGGAAGCTCGCACACTCGCAGCGCACCGCGGGAGTGGAAGTAGATGAAGCCATTCGGACAGTTCCAATGGTGGAACGGCGTGAAACTCAGCACTGGCACACTCACTCGAGGCGCGGCATTCTTGGACGTGCCATTCGCCTTAGGCGGAGCGGAGCTAGGGACGCACATGGGGACGAAGGACGCGTGGCCACGGTCTCCCAGAATCCACATCGGGTGAGCTCCTCGGAAGAACGCGCCGCTCATATTGTTGACGTTGTAGAAGCACGTCAGCATGGGATACCGGAAGCCGGCGCGAAGTTTCGCTAGCACTGCGCTGGTGTTGACTTCCGGGTTATTGCCAGCTTCATTGTGCGCATTCGTACGCGCCTTGGGGGGGCAGGAATGGCCGCGTGATCAGCTCAGTCCCCACGCGTACGAAATGGAAGACGGGGGCGATTTCTCCGTTGGCTCGAGGCTTTAAACTCTCGAACTTTGGTGCAGCCGAGTACATGAGCAAGTCGCCATTGGCAAGAAACACCAGCATCACCATGCGAGAGAGATACTGCGCGTTGTGCTGCCCTTCACTAGGCCCCACACGATGAATGACGATGTCTGCTACTGGCGAGTTGATCGTGTGCGACTTCTTGATGCGACCGTCGTTTGCTGACGACGTCGACGCATTGAGCCCAAGAGCGGGGGCTGACAACTTGACTGTCTTGTTCCTGCCCACTTGGTAGTGTTCCAGTGTGTTCACCAAAGACTGCGGGGCAAACGTGAGGTAGGGGAACACGCCTCGCTTCTTAAAGTCAGGGAGAGAAAACACATGCAGAGAGCCATCTCCAAAGCACATGCCACACATCATCTTGGCGTCTTTTTGCTGCAATAACGGGATCGACACAGACCCGTCCTCATTCCTCGGTGTAGCTGTGCTTGGCATCGACTTGGTAGCGTTCATCGTGGCCACCTTGGGGCTCGGTTTGCTGCTGTACAACGCGTCCATATCATCGTCGTCCTCTGCGCGTTTTGCTCTGCTCTATGTAGCCTCGTGACCTCCCCCTCTTCTTCTACCCACGCGTTCTCAACGAACATACCAGCCCAATCGTAGAAGAGACACGCAGAACTGCTGCCGTGCTTGGACATATCGGCACTTCCATTGGCCTCAGAAATGCCTTCCGCGTAGTCGATTTCCGGGTCAATCACCGACAGCTCCAAGTCTTCTTCGTCTCCCATCAGCAGACGAACGGAGACGTCAGTCAACAGTAGAAGAATATACGGATCCACCACATCCACCGACACGATTCCGACGCTAGAAGTGTCCACGTTCATGCCTCCACACTCGACGTCGCCCTCCAACGTGATCTCTTGTGTACACACCAACTTGACTCTGGGTCCGTCATCCTCGTCGTCTTCCTCTTCGTCCTCTGCACCTTCTGCCTTTCCAGACTTCTCTTGTCCATTGGATGTCTCCTCTTCCGGTACTTCCATCATCACACGTGCGCCTTGTTTAAATATCTGAACAATGCGCTGCTTGTTGAACAGATTCGCCGCCGCAAGCGTAGGCCCAGACGTGTAAAAGCCACTGTCGTCCTCTAAAGGCTCCATACCTTCGCCAGTGCGCAGCACCATCGTACGATGAGCAACACTCAGTATCAGATACGCATTATAACTCCGTCCATCCGAGCTTCTGGTTGCTGACGGTAAAGACGACGACACTGTCCACATGGCTCGACAGCCATTCAGCTCTGCTTCGGTGCCTACGATTGGTCGCAGGCCATTGTGCAACACGGAGATGGCGCCGCTACGTTCATATCCTCCGCTGATCACCAGCTCCTCGCGCTTTTCATTCGAGTCTGCGTTGTTCTCGACGCCTAACTCAATCGAGGTGATCTGTCCGATACTGGGTAGCACATCAATCTGTCGCAGCTCGTAGTCGTACGGGCCAGTGTCTTGCTCAGGCGCGCCATTCTCCTCTGTCTTCACACTCGATACACCCACGCCGTTAGTACACTCAGTAGAGCTCGTAGCTGCAGGCTCTTCCTTCGTAGGAGCTGCACCATACAGGAACAAATCATCTTCGTCTTCCTCTTCCTCCTCAGCTGGCTCCGACTTGATCTCCGGGGCAGATTCCTGCTTTATTACCACCTCTTTGATCGGCATTTCCTCGTCTTTTGGCTCTTCCTCCGTGGCAGTAACCAACTTCTTCTTGTCCAGCACAAAAAGCACAGAATCGCCTGAACGTGAGCCGATAAACAGCGTCTGCTTCTCGTCATCGATACACACACAGCTTGCCTGAATACTAGACCGAAGCATTCGTAGCGACAGCGACGCATTGCGACCTGACGATACTCCACCGAAGCCATACAGTCCACGACTCGACGTGTCTTCATAGGGAAGCGACAGCACGTACACTTGTCCACAAGGCATCGTCAACAACAGCTCCTTCTCTTGCAGATACTCAAACTGGCAGTCGTACAACACCACATTCAGCTGCGCCGTCTCGTGCTCGGGAGTCTCGTACACGGCCTCGCTGAGAGGGAACACTGACTGGTTCACCGTCTTGCTCGCAAACACATTCGTCGCTAAGCCATGGAACTGCGTCTGGTTAAAGTACAGGATCGCATTGGCCGACAAGACCACGACTCCACCAAGCGGTGCACGACACGGGATCAATCGGAAACAGTCGGACGGGAGGTTCTTGACAGTCCAGATCTTCGGATGAAGTCTCGTCTTCATGTTAATGGAGATGACAGTCAAGCAGTACGTGTCAAAGCCCACAGCTAGCCGTCCACACGTCGAGTTCTTGTCGTTCTCCTCGTGCAACACCATCAACGTGGGCTCTAAGTAGCCGTCCAGGAAGGCCAGATCGATCACTTTGCCCGTTATCTCCACTTCTCGTAGTCGAAGGAGGAATTCTCGCCCGGTTATGTCGTTCGGCATGAGGCCACTCATGTGGTTTCTCTTGCGCTTGGCTCCGACCTTGACGCTCTTGTCCAGTAAGGCGTTCAGCGTGTTGTTCATGTCGCTCGTGACTCCTCTGTGCTTGCTCTCGTTCACTAGCTGCTCAAGTTTCTTCTCTTCCTCGTCGTCGTCTTCTTCTTCCGAGTCTGCAGTTGTTCTCCGTCGTCAAAGTCTTCGTCGTCTTCTTCAAAGAACGATAACTCCATCGATTCGCTTCGAAAGGGTACAATAACCAGCTGATCCGAGTACACGAGCATGGCTCCACAGCGTGTCTGTGGGTCTACGCGGGCGGACGCTTGCGTGGCGAGTCCCAGCAGCCATTCTTCTCTCCTTTCAGCGTAGCTCCAGGTCCGATAGCGTCCTCCTCGAAGGAGAACATGGCGAGTGTCGCGAGACTTCGTAAGCGTCTGTCGTAGCCCACAATGATCCATTTAAACAACAGGAACGTGAGTAGCAGCACTTCATCGCCCCCCAGGAAGCGATGCTTCTTTCTGAGTAGACTGCGATCGAATTTGAGCACGTGGACGCTCTCCGCCACTCCTGCTATGGGGAAGGAGGCCATAAGGTGAAGGACATGGCCTTTGGAGACTTCTACGACGCTCTTGCTGTGTTACGTGCTATCAACACTTGCCCGAGTTTATTCGTCGCATGCGAACAAATTCTCTCTTATGATTGGTTAAAGGGGAAAGTGGTCGCATGTAAAAGAGATTATAAAAAGGCGTCAATGCGACGAATTCGTCGCGTGTAAAAATATGATCGCATCAGAGCGAATTGGGTCGCACGGAAAATCCTCCAATCAGAAGCATGCAGTCTTCTGGTTTCTACCGTATTCTACATGCTGTGTTACGTGCTATCAGCACTTGCCCTCGTTTAGCTCTACATTTCCCGTGCACCGATGGTGAAATGAATGTTGCCGCTGCTGAATTTCGCACGATTAGTGGAGGAAGGGCAATTACGGGCTGTATTGGAGCCATTGATGGATGGCTGTGTCCGATTCCTGAAACAGGGTACGTAGCCCTAAGTGTACCCTGGTTAAATGAAGTGTATGACACGTCATACCTCGGAATATGTGGTACAAAGTACCAAGGTCGTTCAAAGCCAACCATTGGTCAACGACATTGCATTTCTGTAGGTGACTTATAGTTTGTATTAAACCCAACTACCCATAAATATACTCAGTTTACATTCTACCTTAATTAGGTCACTTCGCTCTCTTTTAACTAAAGAGGGGACCTGTGAACTGCCGTTCACTGAGAGTTTGTATACTCTCGGAAGATATCTTCCTCTAGCGCAAGGTGCTGTGTGACCCTGTCACACTTGGTAGCACTAGTAGTCAATCCACGCCACCGCGAGTAGACTACCTGAACCTCTCCGAAGTTCGTTGCCATGGATAGGAACGACTCTCAGTTCGAGTCGGTTCGGAAGATGGCAGGCATCCTCGGGATGGAGGCCTTGCGGAGCCTGGTGGTATCAACACCGGCCGAGCAGCTCGAGCGCGTCAATGCGTTCGACGCGTACGAGCAGGACCTCATCGCGCATGTGCGGGAGAACCTGCAGGCTCCGGCGGCGGAAGCAAACCCGCCTCACCCGAAGCCAATACGGCTGAAGGTTGAGCCGTATGAAGAAGAGGAAGGCGAGAGCCTTCACTTCTGGGTCCGAGAAGTAGAGCTCGCGATGGACGCGGCTCTGATCTCGACCGAGCAACTTCGTGTTGCTTTTGCACTCTCCAACCTTAGCGGCCGTGCTAAGAGTTGGGTGTACACACGTGAAGCAACATCCCCTGGGTGTTTCACATCCTGGGCTCAGCTGTGTGAGCAGCTCCGAGCCGCGTTCTTCCCGGCGAACTACGAGTACCGCCAGCGTTCGCGCTTCCTCTCGTGTAAACAAGGGAGGCGCGAACTGACGACGCCAAGCACTGCTACACCCAGGAATGAGGACGGGTCTGTGTCGATTCCGTTATTGCAGCAAAAAGACGCCAAGATGATGTGTGGCATGTGCTTCGGAGATGGCTCTCTGCATGTGTTTTCTCTCCCTGACTTTAAGAAGCGAGGCGTGTTCCCCTACCTCACGTTTGCCCCGCAGTCTTTGGTGAACACACTGGAACACTTCCAAGGGGGAAGGAACAAGACAGTCAAGTTGTCAGCCCCCGTTCTTGGGCTCAATGCGTCGACGTCGTCAGCAAACGACGGCCCCATCAAGAAGTCGCACACGATCAACTCGCCAGTAGCAGACATCGTCATTCATCGTGTGGGACCAAGTGAAGGGCAGCACAGCGCGCAGTATCTCTCTCGCATGGTGATGCTGATGTTTCTAGCCAATGGTGACTTGCTCATGTACTCGACTGCACCAAAGTTCGAGAGCACAAGTACGTGCAAGAGATACGGGAGCTCACGGTGTCCCTATTGGGAAATCCACGCAACGAACACGTCATGATGACTGTGTTCATGGACGGCCTTCGAGTGGGCCCCGCACGCACTCAGCTGTTCCAGGTGCAGTCAAGCACCCTTGAAGAGGCGATTCAAGTGGCTCTTCAAGAAGAGTACAGCCATCGCCAGGCGCGTACGCCGGCCTCAGCATGGCCTGGGAGTTCCTTGTCGGCTCCCGGTCGAACAAGCCCCAACGGACCAGATCCCATGGAGCTCGGGTCCACCGAACAGCGTGACATCCGCTGCTTCGGCTGCGGGAAGATGGGCCATTTCAAGCGCGACTGGCCCGCGGAAAGACTCCGCAGACGGTCCTTTCCCAAGCCCGTCCTTAATCGCTGGCAGAAGCCAGGGTCCCGGGGACAGGGGAACGCCGGGAGCCAGTAGGGGCGAAGCGCCCTACTGGGGAAGAACTAAGTCTTCGGGATGAGTGCGCGTACCACGGGGACTTAGCCCCTGAGAGTCTTCGCACTCTCGAATCGGCGAAGAGCAGCGGCGGGTTGCTCGTAGTACACGGATGTGTACGGGGATACGATCATCCCTTTAGAATCTTGATCGATTCTGGGGCGTCGAAGAATTTCGCACGCCGCCAGACGGTTGCTCGCAACAGCAACAAGCTGTCCGATGCTTTGAGAGAAAGCAAGGACAACGGAACAGTGTCAGTGCGACTGGCCGACGGGAAGGTCGTCACTGTCCCCAACGTCCAAGTGGATCTGGCCGTGAAGTTTGAAGACTTTGACAGCCTCGAACAGTTCACTGCTCGCGATATGGATCCATATGATATGATCCTGGGCATGCCCTGGCTTGAGAAGCACGAGCCCTGGATCGACTGGCGAGGCAACCGCCCTGCGCAGTCCGACAGAGCATTGGTGAGTCATGTTTCCACCTCTGTCAGGACCCGGGGCGCCCGCAAGGGCTGCCAGGGTACCAAAGCATCCGGCAGATGCTTGGGAGTCGTCGACGTATATGACGACTCCGAGGATGTTTTGATGGCGGCAGCGCCCAGAAGAGACGCTGGCCAAGTGGGTAACTTAGGTCCACAGGCGGGTAACTTAGTTCCGCAGACAGCTGCAGCTGTCCCGAACACTGAGAACAGCGTGTTCAGAGTGGGTAACAGAGTTGCACTCACGGTCGCCTAGACCTATACTGAAGAGGAAGATGCCGGACAGGCTTCCTGTGTGGGTCTCACAGTGCCACACGCGGTCGCCCAGACCTTAACTGAAGAGGAAAGCGTTGAACACGCTTCCTGTGTGGGTACCACAGTACCACACGAGGCCACGAGTGCCTCGGATTCCGTAGAGACGACACCCCTAGACGTGGGCAGCAAAGCTCCACGTCACGGTCGCCGTCGTCAACGACGCCGCCGCCGCCTCAAGTCGGATCCGAACTTCGTTCCGATCGACGTCGCTTCAAGCGACTCGGAATCCAGGGCCCGGGCTCCTCCAACAAGGCCGGTGGAAGAGTGTTATCACATCTTCGATGGCGAGACCGGTGTACCCGTTAAAGGCATCTGGTGTCCACTTGGAACCGTTGCCAGAGGTTACCGAGATACTGAACCTCGAGGTAATGACGACTGAGTCTTTCCTGGCCAACCTTAAGGCTGGAGAGATTGCTGATATGGTACTCATGAGACATGAGACCACTCGGGAGGAGTTGAACTCCTCCTCTGTCCTGGACGAGAACGTCCTGGAAGACCTGAACAAGCAGCGTCAGACGCGCTTGGGTTCTGAGATCCTTAAGAACCCCAAGGATCCGGTGTAGCCTTTGGTGACGGAGTATGCGGACGTGGTGAACAAGCACCCACCGACCCAACTCCCACCGGATCGGGCGTACGGCAAGAGATCGATCTCGTGCGTGGCACAAAGTACTGTGTCACAAGACAATGGCCCCTTCCACTCGAACAGAGCGAGATCATCGATGCCTTCTTTGCTGCGAAGGCGAAGGTAGGCATGGTGCGAGAGTCAAAGTCCCCGCACTCGACGCCAACTTTCTGCGTTCGGAAGCCGAACGAAAAGCGGCGTCTAGCTCACACCTATAACAAGCTGAACAATGCGACGGTGTCGTCCCAGACATCAATCCCACGAAAAGATGTGTTGTTGAATAACATGGCCGAAAGCGTACTGTACAGTGCGCTGGATTTGGTAGACGGATACTACCAAATCCTGATGCGAGAGAGCGACATCCCGCTCACTGCGGTAAGCACTCCAAGCGGCATGCTTTGGGAGTGGCTCTTCATGCCGCAGGGCTTGTCTAACGCCCCGGCGACGTTCAATCGCCTGGTGATGCAATTGTTCCGCTCTTTGCGTACCTGTGTACAGACGTACTTCGACGACATATTCGTCCATAGCCGTGCCGAGGGAGGCAAGACGGCCACGGAGGTGCATCGAGGACACCTCCGTCGAGTGTTGGACGTGATGCGGGCGAACAAGCTCTACGCCAACATCGACAAGTGCGTTTTCGTGTCAGAGATTAAAGTTTTCAGTTGCTTCCTAATCAACGTGGGCGTTCGAGCTGACCCAGACAAGGTCAAGGCCATAGCAGCATGGCCGACGCCCAGATCCCAGAAGGATCTTCGAAAGTGGTTGGGCTTGGCCAACTACCTTCACAAGTACAGCGCAGAGTACACGGGCTTCGCTAAGCCCTTGTCGAGCCTCCTTTAGAAGGTCGTCGACTGGCGCTGGGAGCAAGAGCACCAGGATGCTTTTGACAGCATCAAGGCCAGTCTCCAAGAGGCCCCTGTCCTGGCCCTGCCGGACGAGATGAAGCCGTTTAACGTCGTCTGCGATGCCTCCGATTACGCCATCGGATGTGCATTGCTGCAGGCCGACACGGCTGGACATGAACGAGTCATCTCGTTCCAGTCCAGGCAGCTCAAAGCCGCCGAGCGGAACTACCCTGTCCACGACAAGGAGCTCCTGGCAATAATATATATGCCCTTGTGAAGTTTCGTGTTCAC